ATGTGCAGTCTAAACAATGTGTATCCTGCTAAGCTACATTTTAAAATTGACGGAGAAATCAAATCTTTTATTCATATGCAAACATTGAGAAAATTCACAAGACCAGCTCTACAGAAAATACTTAGACCTATTCTCCACACTCACCATCACAATGGACCACCAGCAAAGTAAACTTTCAGAAACTAAAGGACAAAATCTATCATCCACAATGATGCAAAGGATAAAACTAAGCAATGGATGTTCACAAAATAAGATGACTATTGACAAGTCATCTTATCAATAACTCTATGACTATGACACCACCATACTTATCAATTTTCTCAATAAAAGTAAATGCCTTGACTTCCCCACTCAAGACTGGCTGATTGGATAAAAAAGCAAAAGACATCTATATGCTATCTGCAGGAAAAACTCCTAGTCACAAAGGATAAAATAAGACTCAGGGTGAAGGGTTGGAAAACAATATTTCAGGCAAATGGAAATCAGAGGAAAGAAGGGATCACAACCTTATTTTCAGATACAAATGGATTTAAAGCAACTAAGTCAAGAAAGACAAAAATGGTCACTTCATACTGATCAAGAGAACAATATAAGAGGACATTTCAATTCTAAATTATTTATGCACCTAACTTAAATGCTCCCACATTTATGAAACAGACATTTATTGGTCTAAGCAATATAATATCCTATAACACCGTAATATCTGGGGACTTTAACACCCATCTTACAGAGCTTGATATATGCTCCAAGCAGAAACTAAACAAAGGAACTTAAACATGATCCTAGAGGTGATCCTAGAGGCCTAGGGTGACCAGACCTCCTGCTTTTGGCGGGACAGTCCCACTTTTCAACAATTTGTTCTGCGTCCCACAGCGTTTTTAAAAAGTTCTGATTTTTGGAAAGAATACACAAACGGGCAGGAGAACAAGAAGGGAATATATGGTTTTGGGCTGCCATATAGCTATTTAGCCAGAATATGAGTTTTATATTATTTTTGTTAATTTTATGTTAAACTGTAATAATAACAAAGAATTGCTGAGAAGTGATTATCGAGAACTGCTTATCAAAGTTTGCATTGTTGTCAGGCCCTGCCTTAACCCTGTCCCCTGCACCGCCCCTGCCCCCGCCCTGCTGCCACTGGCCATGTTGTCCCACCTTACCCTAGAACAATTGGGCTTAATAGACATATACAGAACATACCATTCCAAAGCTAAGCAATATACATTCTTCTCATCAGTTCACTGAACATTCTCCAAAATAGATCATACCCTACGACACAAATCAAACCTCAACAAAATCAAAAGAATTGAAATTGCACCTTATATCTTTTCAAATCATAAGACAATGAAGGTGACAATCTTAACTCCAACAAAAATGTAAATCCCTGCACAAAGGCATGGAAACTAAACAACCTTATGCTGAATGACAGTTGGGTCAAGAAAGAGATAAAAAAGAAATCATTAACTTCCTTGAGCATAAGAACAATGAAGACACAGCCACCAAAACCTGTGGGGTATTGCAAAAGAAGTACTAAGAGGAAAACTTATTGTATTAAATGCCTACATCCAAGAAACAGAAAGAGAGCACATCAACACCCTAATGAATCATCTTAAAGAAATGGAAAAGGAAGACTAATCCAATCCCAAACCTAGCAGACAAAAAGCAATAACCAAAATTAAATCAGGAATAAATGAAACTGAAAACAAAAAATCATTCAGAAAATTAATGAAACAAAAGTTGGTTCTTTGAAAAGATAAATAAAATCAATAAACCATTGACCAGATTAAGTAGAAAGAGAAATGTGAAGTTTTTAATAACCTCAATCATAAACAGAAAGGGGAAATAACAACAAATACCTCAGAGATACAAGAGATTATCTCTACTACAAGAAATTCTATGCCCAGAAATTTGACAATGTGGAGGACATGGACCAACACCTGGAATAACACCATCTTCCTAGACTTAACCAGGAAGAAACAGAACTCTCAAACAGACCAGTATCAAGTACTGAGATTGAAGAAACAATAAACAATCTTCCAACAACAACAACAAAAATGCCTGGGACCAGATGGCTTCATATCAGAATTCTCTCAAACCTACAAAGATGAACTTCCACCTACACTGCAGAACCTATTCCTTAACATCAGGAAGAAAGGAACCTTTATCAACACATACAATGAAGCAAATATCATCCTAATTCCAAAACCAGGAAAAGATCAAACTAAAAAGGAGAACTACAGACCAATTTCACTAATCAATATCAATGCAAAAATACTCAATGAAATCTTGGCTAACAGATTCCAGCTACACATTAAAAAATTATACATCATGATCAAGCAGACTTCATCTCAGGAATGCAAGGCTGATTTAGTATATGCAAATCCATAAATGTAATTAAACATATCAGTAGAAGCAAAAACAACAACCATATGATCTTCTTAATAGATGCAGAAAAAGCATTTGATAAAATTCAGCATCCATTTCTAATAAAAACATGTAAGAAATTAGGCATAGGTAGCACATTTCTTAAGCTGATTGAAGCCATCCATGACAAACCTACAGCTAATATAATACTGAATGAAGTAAAACTGAAAGCTTTTCCACTTAGAACTGGAACCAGATAAAGATGTCCACTATTACCACTATCCTTCAACATAGTTCTATAAGTTTGAGCCAATGCAGTCAGGCAAGAGAAAGATATAAGGGCATCCAAATGAGGGAAGAGGAGGTCCAACTCTTGCTCTTTGATGATGATATGATCTTATACTTAGAAAACCCTAGTGACTCAACCACAAAACTCCTGGAAGTGATTAAGAAGTTCTATAACTTCTCAGAGTATAAAATGTCCACGAATAGGTAGCCTTTGTATATACCAATAACAGTCAAGTTGAGAAGCAAATCAAGGACACAATTCCCTTAACAGAAGCTTCAAAGAAAATGAAATACCTAGGAAGTTACCTAACAAAAGAGGTGAAGTACCAATACAAAAAGTATTATGAAATCCTAAGAAAAGAAATAGCAGAAGATGTTAACAAATGGAAGAACATACTATGCTCTTGGCTTGGAAGAATCAACATTGTTAAAAATGTCTATACCACCCAAAACAATCTACAGATTCAATGCAATCCCCATTAAAATACTAACATTATACTTTGAAGAAGTGGAAAAAATAGTACTTCATTTTACAGGGAACCAGAAAAACATCCTACATAGATAAGGCAATTCTTAATAATAAGAACAAAGCCAGGGGCATCACTCTGCCAGACTTCAGGTTATATTACAAGTTCATAGTAATCAAAACAGCCTGGTATTGGCACAACAATAGAGTTATAGACATATGGCACAGAATAGAAAATGAAGAGATGAGACCAGTCTCTACTTGCCATCTGATCTTTGATAAACCAAACAAAAGCATACTGTGGGGAAAAGAATCCCTATTCAACAAATGGTGCCAGGAGAATTAGATAACCACATGTAAAACTGGACCCACATCTTTTACCACTTACAAAATTGATTCAAGGTGAATAAAATATTTAAATCTAAGACATGAAATGATAAAAATCTTAAAAGGAAGTGTGGGAAAAACTCTTGATGATGCTAGACTCAGGAAAGATTTTATTAAGACTTCAGTGGCAATTACAACAACAATAAAAATAAATGGGACTTAATTAAGCTGAAAAGCGTCTGCACAGCTAAGGGCACAACAAGTAAAGCAAAAAGACAACCTTTAGAATAGGAAAAGATATTTGCATGGTATGAAACTGACAAATGGTTGATAACTAGAATCTACAGAGAACTCAAATTAATCAACAAGAAAAAGAGCAAACAATCCGGTCTACCATTGCGTAAGAGATATAAATAGAACCTCCTCTTAGGAAGACAGACAAATGGTTAACAAACATTTGAAAAAATGCTAATCACCATCCCTAATCATCAAAGAAATTCAAATCAAAAGCATCCTGAGATATCACCTAGCCCCAGTGAGAACAGCTCACATCACAAAGTCTCAAAGCTGTATAAGCTGGCATGGATGTGGAGAGAAGGGAACACTTTTACACTGTTGGTGGGAATATAAACTAATATTACCTCTTTGGAAAGAAGTTTGGAGAATCCTCAAAGAACTCAAAATAGACCTCCCATTTGATCCTGGAATCCCATTAGTAGGCATCAACTCAGAAGAAAAAAAAATCATTTTATCATAAGGACATTTGCACTAAATTGTTTATCACAGCTAAAGTTACCATTGCCAAAATGTGGAAACAACCTAAATGCCCACTAACCCAGGAAAAGATTAACAAGCTGTGGCATATGTATACCATGGAATACTATTCAGTCATTAAAAAAGATGGAGGCTTTACATCTTTTGTGTTAACCTAGATGGAGATGGAACACATTCTTCTTAGTATGGTACATAAGAATGGAGAAGCACATCAATATATTCAATACTAATATGGAGCCAGTAGACAATCTAATATATACCCATATAAGAGAAAAACTCAAATCAGTTCAACATAGGGGTAGGGAAAAGAAGGCAGAGGGAAGATAGGGGGATGGGTGTACTCCTGCTTAATTGGCATAATGTTAAGGTATATGGCACATCTCTTGGGGGCAGGACACTATTATAAGAGGGACTCTACCTAACAAATGCAAATATTGTAGCCTATTTCTTTGTACCCTCAAATTAACCTGAAATTAAAAAAAAGAAGAGAACGAAAAAGATCACATAAACACAATAATCATTTTAATATGTAATAATATCATCTAAATCAATATTAAATCCATAGAATGATGAATTTTAGAGGTAGAATGGAGTCTAATAAGAAAATAGTCCAACTTTCTGATTTATACAGGTGGAAACTCAGGCCAGAGTGAGGATGTGACTTGTCTAAGGCCACTTAGGAGAATTAGTGGCTGAGAGTCCAAAGTCAGGCTCCTGATCCTACCTCAGTGTTCTTTCCCTTGCATTCCTAAACGTATAAAGTAGCTGTTAAATCACCAACCTTTATTGGCATCCATTTGTAAGACTGGTAGGGGGGTGAAATAGGGATCTGTGCGACGAGAAGATGGCATAACTGTGAGACTGGATATAGTGGACCCCTTTATTAACTTCTGAACCTTCACCTAGATGATAAAAAATTGGTTTTCAGCAGACATTTTCGCCTTCACAGTGAACACAGTTTTCTTCTTGTAAACAATAAATAAGATTATGAATAGTTTCATTAAGTTTTAATAAAGTAGCAATATCAGCTCCAATTTTATTGCTCATGAGTACTCTGTGCTATTGCCTACTACTGTCAGGAGTTTGTGTAATTTAAAATAGTTAATTAAATCCAATTAACATGTTGTGATCTCCACTATACAAAGTCAGTACAGTAGTTAATAAACAGACTATTTTGTTCAATTTTAATGACTATAATATAAAAGTACTAAATCTTAACAGAGGAACTTTTGAATACAGCAAAGTTTTATACAGAAAAATTTCTCAGGAAATAAATATTAGAGTTTTGAGGTTTAAGAAAATGGGAGAATTTAAAGATAAACATGTCAATCAGTATTAATAGGTTACAGATGATTTTGAGTAGACTCTTTTACAGAGCTCAGAAATGGTTATAAAGACATGATTTCCAGATCAGTTACAGTAGATAATTACTTTTCTTAAAGTCATAAAATGCTTTTATTATAGTTATAAAATATGAATTATTTCTATTAAATGGTTTCTAGATTTTAAAGATTAGATATATTGCATATAAATCACATTTGATTATATATTCTACATATGCTATTTTTACCTTTATTATAGAAGGTTATGAACTTCCTGGGCCCTCTCAGCAGGGAAGATGGAACTGTTTGATATTTATAAACTGATTTAAACAGTGATTAATTTATAGAACTTCCAAGGGAACTAGGTAACAGTTTGCTATTTAATTAATAAATAAGACTAACAAAGGTTAGTCAAGTTGTTTCAGGTCACATGGTATAGCAGATATACATAGATTATTCGATTTTAAGATAAAGCTGAAAAAAGGAACAAAAGAATATTAATCTGTTCTTAACATTAGTGAAATTAGCCATTGAACTCAGTTGCATAACACTTTATTGCTCAGCAAAGTCAGCATGGCTTTAAAGAGTCATCCTTCAAAGAAAGGGAAAGTTTCATCATGATTGCAGGGAGAAAAATAACTTTATGAAATAAGTATCTCCTGGCTGGGAAATGCCTGTATGAACAAAATGTTAGGGCCCCAATGCCAGGATTTGGTAACTATAAGGCAGCCACCACATAAGGAACCCTTTGATGATGTTCAGTAAATAAATGATAAAAAGAAATTGTATTTGTAATAGGAAAGAGTAGTCTGTAAGTGCAAGTGAGTTGGAAGGGGTAAGGAAGGTGCTACCAGCCTTGCCTTCATGAGAATGAGGGACTCATAGCCACATTTTTATGAGACTCTGATCTTGTTGATCTATCTTGGTTGCTTTTCCTCATCCTCAGCTCTCCTCTCCTCACCTCACCTCCAGATATGAGTAGCTTCCAAGATTGCTTCCTAATCAGGAAGGCTGAGATAATCACCCAAAGTGACTGACATAGTTGTTGCTGAGAATCTGGAAATGGCATATACATTGCTGAGGATATCCAGTATCAAATGTGCCAGGGTTTCTGGAAAAGCAAATATTCAATGTACTCAATACATGAAGGCAGCAGATGATCTAATACACACCCATGTAAGAGAAAAACTCAATTCAGTTCCAGTTGGGGGGATGGGCATTGAGACCGGGGGAGAAGGAAAAAAGGGAGGGGATTGGTGTGCTCCCAATGGGCACAATATAAGGGTATATGGCACACCTTTTGGGTACAGGATGCAACTACAAGAGGGACTCTACCTAACAAATGCAAATATTATAACCTAGTTGTTGGTACTCTCACATTCACCTGAAATTAAAAAAAAAAACATGGCAGGGTTTCCAGTTGTCTGATTGATAGCAGGTCAAGTGAGGCAAAGGTAAATTGGAGGAAGAGAGAAAGATTCAACTTAAACAAAACTGTCAAACACTGTGATGATGTAAAATATAGGTCTGGCAGTTTCAGGGTGCAGAGCATAATTTACCTGGATTTTCTGAAAGCCTTTGACAACACCTGACAATCTGCTCTTGAAAGCTAAAATAGTAGGATCCACATAAACCACAACGTAAAGGATGGGACACAGAGGAGAACTGAAGGCAGGAGCAAAAGCCAGACCCAAGAACTATGCTGAAAAGGCAGTAGGGGTGTGTGTGTGTGTGTGTGTGTGTGTAGCAGAATAGAGGGGAGGGTTATAATATGCAGAAATAGATTGTTCGGGCAGTGTTGCTGGATATGAAACATCTGCCCTGTCCCGTTCCCATAGTAAGGATAACCACTTCCATACATGCCTGGTTGGAAGGGGAAGGACTGTACCAACCTGCAGCATTTACTGAGCACTTACTATATAACACTAACTTTAATACAATGAGCATTAAATTTCATGAGCAGTGGAAAAGCTAAAGACTGTAGGAGCGTGGAAGAGGAAGTAATTAACTCTGCCTGCTGGTGTTGCAGAAGGCTTTGCAGCAACTCTCAACCCTGGCGGCATATTAGAATTACTTGGGGAGCTTTTAAAAAATACTGCTGCCTGGGCCCCAACCCTGGGCAATTAATTCAGAATAGCTTGGCTAGGGCCTGAGCCTTGGTATTTTTATAAAGCTCCCCAGGTGATTGTGATGTACAGCCAAGGTTGAGATGTACTACACAGTGACATTTAAATTACATCTTAAAGGAAACATTGAATTATATTAGGCAATTACAGGTAAAAAGAAAGGTGGCAGTAAGGCAAAATAGTATATTAATTTACAGAAGTGAGAACCTACGTACGTAGCTAGTGGGTAAGGTGTGTGTATGAGAAAAAGGGTAGGGTGAGAGAATGAGACTGGAAAGGTACATTGAGACTGATGTAAATTAAAGAAGCCAACTTTGTGAATGCTAAAAGAATTCAGATATCATCTGCTGTGGTTTCCCCTTTTAGTCATGCTTTCTTTTTACAATTTACTCTGGAATTATGCTTTGTAGTTTGTATAATATGATATGAAGTCATATTATAAAAGAATCATATTATCAATAGAACACTGTCCCTTATATCTGGTCCTTCCTTATTATTTTCAGAACTATAATTCAGAACTTTATTACTTGATGTCTGAACTTTTTATAATAGCTTAGGAATAATTTTTAATTAAAAAAATATAGAAAAGCTTCAAGAAGTAAATAGCAATTATATTCCCATCAGCCAGAATTAACCATGATAATATTTTTGTATATTTGCTTCCAGTGTTTTCAAATAGAAAAACATCCTATTTTATTATTTGGTACAAATGATAAATGCTCGTTATAAAGATTTCAAAAAAGGCAAAAGTTTAAGAAATTTTGCCAAATATCATGAGGTGATCCATTATCCCTGACATCTTTAGAGTAATTGATATATGCTTGTATAAAAATAGGACTAAATTATTAAACTTAATTTAACATGAACTTATGAGGGGGGAAAAGGGTTGCATTGAACCTAACAGGAAATACTTTTATGTTAAATATTTTAATGAAATTTCCTGTAATTTGGTGTTTTCTTCCCACTTGTAGACTCAGTTCCTTCTTCACTTTGAACTATTTTTTCTTACATTACATCATTAAATACAGTTTTCCTTTCATTTGCTAGGTTCCCTGTTTTAGGGACACTAAGTATCCTTAAATGTTGGCTTATCTTTATTTTTCATGTTACGGTACCTAACTATTCTCTCCTGATTCCATTTAGAATAAGACATCCTGAGTTTTAGCTGAGCACATGGCTATCCAGTTATAAGACCATACTTCCTGGAATCCCTTGTGGCTAAATGCTGATAGGTAACTGACTCAGGGTCACATCCTCAGAGTGCCTGGCCTGGACTACCTCTCTTCTTTCTATGGGTTGAAATATGTGTGTGGAGTAGAGCGAGCTTTTACCCAGAATGAGAATATCCTGTAATGACTGGAATGAAGAGATAATGGAACGTCAAGATAGAAAGAACCATATCTTGAATGATTCTGTGGAGCAGAACTTTCCTGCTAGCCTTGGACTTCTCACCTGTGGACTGCTAATTTATTTAAGTCATTACATATTTCTTTGTTACAGCAACTTCACCTGTACCAAAGGTACTAAAGTAATATGTGTTATCTATTCACTTCTAATTAACTTCCCATCTTTTCCCTCTGATTTCCTGTCTTTATCTTTTTCTTAATATTAATATCTCAATATTCATCAGTGTTTGTTCTGCTCATTCTATTTATAGTTTACTTATTAGTTCCATAAAGTACTTTGGTATTCAATTTGTATATTTGCAATCTCCTTTTTTTAAAAAAAATCTCATTCTGCTATTTTACCATCTCATGTTTCAGCTCTAGTTTCACTTACTCCATGTTCTTATCAAGCTACACTATGTAATGTGAAGAAATTGGGAGAAAATTCCTTCTGTTACTTGAGTTATATTTTTTTCTAGGTTAGGCTTTATCTTTGCAGCCCATGACTCTCCCTTGCTCCCCCCTTCTCTTCCCTTTGTTTTGTTAGCTGTGGGTGATATGCTGACATGAAGACAATGCAGAGGTCACAGTAAATCAGTGTAGTGACCATGTCATTTCTTTTTTCCTCGGAAGCTCTGTCCACACATTCAACTTGCAGTGAGATAGTATCTCCTCTCACATTATCAGGAACCAGTGGGAGATCTCTCCCAGCAACACATGAGAACTGAGTATTCTGTGTTTTCTCTGCCTTTCTATTATCTGAGGGCTTGGAGTGGGGAAGCTGCTATTAAGGAGGTATGCAGTCTTTGTTAAAATATTTAGGCTCTTCTCCTCTCCTGAGGTTTTGATAAATATCCTGTGTCAGGGTTTACACTGCCTAGTTGAGGGTAAGGCCATCCATCACTTGAGGGGTTCAGATTGGAGCTCTGTTGCTCCTCTCTACTCTGTTCCTGAATTTTCTGCTATATTCGTGGACAAACTGCATGATGATATCCAGCAACCCTGGAGGGGTTGGGCT